CTTTGAGCTGTTTCTTTTTCTATTGCATTGGTTATATCAAACACCTTCATTAAATGTAATAAACAGAAATTCATCAAAAGTGACAACTCTCAATTTTTTGACATTTGTAAATTCTAAATTGAATGAGAAAAATGAAATAATACTAAGCATAATATTCTAGATTTAATTATAATTAGGAAAAAGTTAGTTTTGAGAGTACTTTTCATAGGCATATAGAATGAAATCTTCTGAAAAATAATATCACATAAACTCATATTATTTTCTAATATATAACTATTTTATATAAAAATCAAATTCAATGATCTTAAAAGTGAAGGATAAACCTCAAAATTTTCGAATATAATGAGTGGGAATATAATGCTTATCTATCATAAAAACCATATGAAATATCAATTTTGCTTTACGCCTAATTTTTGACGACAATTAGCAAAAAATGTTAAATGTTAACACTCAGTCCATTTGAATATGAAAAATAAAATTGACTTTGAATAAATGTTTTTATTTATCATGCAATTCTTCTTGCGACCAAAGATTTGAAAAAATTTCAAAAAATAAGATAGCTTAAAAAAATAATATACGGTAGTGTTTACTAATAGATGAATAGTATATAAATTCTATTAAAATGGATTTGATCCAAAAAAAATAAAACCAAAAATAATTGTTATAATTTAAATGAAGAAGTAATTTAAAACGATTTTATTTATGATCAAATTTTATATATTTTTTTGGATCAAATCCATTTTAATAGAATTTATATACTATTCATCTATTAGTAAACACTACCGTATATTATTTTTTAAGCTATCTTATTTTTTGAAATTTTATTCAAATCTTTGGTCGCAAGAAGAATTGCATGATAAATAAAAACATTTAATCAAAGTCAATTTTATTTTTCATATTCAAATGGACTGAGTGTTAACATTTAACATTTTTTGCTAATTGTCGTCAAAAATTAGGCGTAAAGCAAAAATTGATATTTCATATGGTTTTATGATAGATAAGCATTATATTCCCACTCATTATATTCGTAAATTTTGAGGTTTATCCTTCGCTTTTAAGATCATTGAATTTGATTTTTATATAAAATAGTTATATATTAAAAAATAATATGAGTTTATGTGATATTATTTTTCAGAAGATTTTGTGTTCTTCTTCAAAATTTTATTTTTTTATTAAAAAGAATCTTTACAACATATACATTTACTATAATTAATATTTAAAAACGTGCTCTATCAAAAGTTCCAAAAATTCAATATTTTAGCTTTTCTGCGATTTCACTTTTGATGAATTTCTGTTTACAACAATTTTAATTATCATAAGGGTTTCGTTTTGCGAAAAAACGTACAATACGCAATTTCGCTAAACAACATTTAGCTAGCAATTTCGACCTTTGACTCCACTCAAGACGTCACTTTTTTAATTTTGCGGTATCATATTTTTGGAAATCTTTATGAATATTATATAAAAAGTCTCTTTAATATCTATATTTCATATTTTTATCGATTTTTAAAGTTTTTGCGAAAAGTATTCAATTATTTTTGCTATTTGGTCGGGTAAATGTCAGATTTGCGACATTTTCTGATATGATATTCAGATTCTACGTTGATAATAATGCTTATAGAACTAGGGTTGTTAGATTCCCGACGATAGGTGTCTTGGAAGATTTGCCTGGTGTCATCATAATGTCTTTAAATCAAAAATTTTATTTTGGAGTTAGTTTTATTGATTTTTCAATAAAAAACATTTCTAAAACAAGAAAATAAAACGATAAAATATTTATATTTTATATAAGGATCTTATATATTTAAAATAAATATCATTTTATTTTTTTCATTGGTGTCTGTCAAACCATAATACACTATTCAAAAATTCAATGTGTCTTGCGGTTTCAAAAGACACCTTCAAATTGAACGATAGCACAGACACTATTGAATTTTACCCATTTTATTTAGTTTTTACCCTTTTTATTTTTAAGAATGAATGACTGAAACAGCCGTTTTGCTATGACCTCAATCACTTTTATTTATTATTTTAAATATTATTTAATTTTATTATTTGAATATGCCAACTTATATTTGAGAAGCTCAATTTGAGACCACTTAATACATTGAAATATCATAAATATTGAAATATTAAAAAGTGTATTTCAAAATATTGAAATTATAAAAATTTATAATACTGAAATTGAGACAAATTAATAAATTCAATGTTTTTTTTTTGAAAAACTCTCAAATATTATTTTTTGTTTATTTAATGATGAATAAATATGATTGCTTTAGCCAATCATAAAAACTAATTTAAGTTTAAAATAATGAAAGGATAATTTGATCGTTTTTTAAAATACAATTATTTTTGATGATTTGCAAGAATCTTTGAAAAGAATCTAATATAGGTTCTATTTTTGTAAAATTTATCCAAATCATGTATTACATAAATTATGATTAAAACGATGAAAGAACCAAAAAGTGTGTTTTGTGTTTGTTGTTGCGTGTTGGATGCGGGATCCTGTTATTTCCGAAATCGACAAAAAATTTGGAAATTTAATTTCCGAAATCGAAATTATATTAATGTTTTTAATATTCTTATATCAAAAGGATTCAAGTTCATTAAGAGAAAAACAATTCTTCTTCTTCAATCTATTGGCGCATTTATTTCTACACGCCAATAAGGAAGGGAAAATTATAAGACACCATGGTGTCTTCAAAACGCTAATTTTTGATATTTTTAACAACCCTATATAGAACCCTCTTGCTATTGTGTCAAAATTGCGAAACCGATAGCAAAAATATCTCGCAATATCAAAATTGAGATATTGAGTGAATTATGCATTATAGAGATTAAAAATCTGATTTGTGAAAACATCTCATCAGTTTCTAGCTAATTCAAAAATCTTTACTATCTTATTCGATTAAAATGAAAAGGGAATAGTTTCATTATGCTTTAAATGACAGCCTTATAATATAATCATAGTTTTCGCTCAATATGCAGCATTTTTTTTCGAAATCTATGGTCAATGTCCTAAATACTGATTGCTTTGCATTCATATCTCTTACATTTTCTATTCCCACATCACTATTCATTGCTATTCCTATCTTTTTCATTTTTGTTTGTTTCTCATAATTTCTCAAAAAACACGATAACTTGATATTTGTAAATATCATACTTTATAACGTAAATAAGAACTTGACCTATTAAGAAAAGCAGTAATGAAAAGAAAATCTGAAATTCATAAAAATTACAAGTTTCTGATGACAATTAGCTTAATTAAACCAGGTACAAGATTATATAATTGTATTTTCTATCCAATTATCCATATAATATCTTATCCAGAAAAAATAACTTGATCAATACCAAATGATTTTTTAACTAGTAAATAAAGTATTTTCTTTACACACACATTGTATATCATAGTTTTTTTTGGTTTCGCAAAACATCCAAAAACAAATATGCTATAAAAGTGACAATTTTAGCAAAACGAAACCCTTAATTATCATTATGTGTCCTATTATAGAAGATTAAAATAATTATACCTAGATTTAAGGGTCCACTGTAAAAATTGAAAGTCTCTCAAAATTGAGAGGCAATTTGCAAATAATCGTTATCATCTTTTTTCGAAAATCCACTTTTCCTAGTGTTCTGATTAATATTTTGTGAATGTAACAATAAAGTATATGTTTTAGTAAGATGATAATACATTCTATCACTTCAAATCACATAAAAATTGCAAAATCAGCGAGTTTTATAAGAACATGATTTTTTCGAATTTTTTCGCTTCTGGATGCGTGTTTTGAAAAATAGATATTTTCGAATTTTGATTTTAATTTAAGTATAAATTTTATATTAGGAATTTTTTTGACCTATTTCCAATCATTAATTCCTAAGTTTTTCTAGGAATTTAATTGAGAAGAAATTAGGAAATTCGCTTTAATGCCATTACATCCTAATATTGTAATGCATGTAGTTTATATTTATTGAGGCTAATGCCGGAATATCGTGCATTTTATAAAAAATTCAAAGAATTGACAATTGGATAGCACAAATTTAATTCTCTAGACAAAGTATTATTGTTTATATATTCAAAGCATTATCCTTCGTTTTGAAATGTTGGCCAAAAATTTTCGTGTTATTTTTTGTGTTTCAGCATAAATTATGTATTGACTTATGAAAGATAAGCATTTTATTCATTATCATAAAGATATACCAAAACAAATTGATAAAATTTTAAAAAATGTGTATTTTAGTGGGTATTATTCTGGCCAATGCCCATTTTTAAACGATTTAATATTGACCATATCAATAGCCGACTCAATGTAAAAATTTAGATATTATTTTTTTCATTATTCAAACTTTGATAAATTTTAGTATAATGAATGATTTTGTTTCGTGTATGATACAGAAATGAAAAGCTTGATTAATATCATTTTGCATTTTTTCAAGAATGTTAGAGTACATCTACATTAAAAAATCGGATTCGAATTGCGATACTGCATCAAATTGTTGCACATCTGATAAGGATCTCAAAAGAGTAAAGTTAATTTTTTTGTGTTTTTTTAAGTTTTGGGCCTTAGTAAAACACCATCTTGAGCAATATTTTTGAGACGACGATAGGCCTTATTTGGCCTTACAGTGGACCCTTAAGACAATTTTGATTTTTTATTTTTTTAAGCCATTTTTCAATCTCATTCAAATAGATTGACAGATTTTTATATAAATCATTTGTGTAAATTATCTTTATCTCAATAAAAAAAAATTATTTAAATTTTCTAATTTTAATCTGGTCTTCTCTTGGGTAAATACATTTAAGTAAACAATTGTGCAGAATTTAACAAATAAAATAAGTTCATCTACATTTTATAGCAAATCTAGGAGGAAAATCACGATTTTTCTCTAGTAAACATAATTTACATTGCTCAGTAATTTTATTTCTTATGCTCAATCTCTTACATTTTTTTATTTGCATGTGGATGGCGAAAAAAATAACGTAGTTTTTCTGAATTTTGATGAACTCTGCGAGTGATTCTTTGAAAAAGGTTCAGGAGCAGATTTCATCAAAGATGCTAGGAGGCTACAATGATGTGGAGCAAAAAAATGGCGACCAAGACGCTTCTAACGCAAATAATATCCCGTTTTCTCCTGAAGACTCTAAAAATACATTTCCTACAGAAACATCTGATGTTAAGGATGGAGGTGATCCCGGTGTTGATCAACTCTTAGGAGAAATGATGAATGACTCGGGCGGATTTGAAGATTTTGAAGAAAATTCTGGACATGAAGGAGAAGATGACTTCGAACCAAGTGAAAGCGAAACAGGTGATCTTCATTCAGAAATTCCAGAAAATTCGAATTTTGAAGATTCGGAATTAAGCAAAGCTTCAGAACAAAACGAAACTAATCGTGAACAAACTGAGCAAAATCAACAAAACTTACCGACTCAGCAAGAAAATCCAGCGCCAGAAGCAAATCAGGAAGAACAAAAAGTCGAATTCAAAAATGAATTAAATACTGTATTGGAAAAGATGATCCCTGATCAAGTTGATCAAAATTCTCCTCCGCACGAAACAGCAAATGAAAATCCAAATCTGCCAGAAAATATACAAGACCAAAACACTGAACAACAAGAGGACACACCACCCAATACAGAGAAAGATATACCCCAACAACCTTCAGAGCCTGTTGATGACAAAAAAGAAGAAAATACTCAAGAAGAACCTAAGCAAGAGCAAGTTTCAATAAAGGGTGCATTAACTCAGCTTATTATGGGTAATGATGATCGAATCGTCAAAGATCCTGAGAATAAAGAACAAAACCAAAATGAAAATACAGAACAACCTCCAAAACAACCAGAAGGAGAAGAGGAGATGGCACGTGATACAGATATGGTACCAGAGGAAGAAGAATTAGATGTAGAAGAAGAAGAAATGAACTTGGATGAAGAAGATGGCGAAATTCCAGAAGAAAAAAAAGCCGAAAACCAAGAACAAAAGAATCAAGAGAAAGAAGACCATGAAAACGAAGAAATGGAAAAGAGTGACGTTGAAGAAATGGATCATAACAGCATCATCAGTTCAAATGAAAATTCAGAGGGTGAAGAAAAAGAACCAGAAAATTCACCTCAACAAGAAAACGAAGAACCGAATAAAGAAAAAGAAGAGGAAAAACCAAAAACGTCAGAATCTCAAAAAAGGCCTGTTGTTGAGAAGATTGAAGGTATGACAGTTAGAGATTCAGCGATACATAGTAGATTATCCAATGAAAGGCAAGTAACAGCTCGAGATTTACCGTTATTACAAACAAATCCTGATATTGAAGGAAAATGTCGTCAGTTCCTTCAACAATTTCGAAAACATAAGAAATTCCCTGATAAAGTTGACTCAGATTTCAGAATTCAATTTAGTCAATTCTTAAATCGTGAAAAAGTGAACTGTGTAGCACAAGAAAAGTATCAAGAAGCCCATGAATTGCAAGAAATAGCTATATTGTTCTCTAACATGACGAAGAATTTCATGGGAAACGAAAGAATTGACGAAAAAATTGGCCAATTAGAGGATAGAATTGTAGAATTAGATAAGCAGATACAACAGATTAAGGTTGAATGTGATAAAAACCTGAAAAAGTCACATAAAGAACATGATGAATTTTCTAAAACGCTCAAAACTCATCAATCAAAGGATTTGGAGCAATTCAACATGAGATGGAATGACATGGACCATCTCAAACAGTTCACAAAGCCTTCTCCTGTTCTTTTAAACATGACATACAAAGAAAATGCAACAGTGAGTGGCAAAATGTTCGATAGAGCAGAAGAATTCAAGCGAATGGTATCACAGCAGGAGAAAGAAGAGTCTGCTTACGCTCAAGAAAGAGCAATGACCGCAATGCGCTTGGATAGAAAGAAAATGGATGAAAAGCATATAAGAGAAAGGAAAGCGGCTGAGACACAAAGGCTGCTCAGTGAACAATCAATCACAAATGACTACCTTCGAGAGCTTAAAACTCTAAATCAGAGAAAAGATAGATTAATTAGAGAAATTGATGGATTGAAAACTCTCAAACTAAAGGGTATTCTCCCTCCTTTGAAGCCCAAATCATCAAAGAGATTGCGGAAGCGTGGAGAAGAAGAACCAATGACAATTACTCCAAGAACTGTTTCTAGATTTACTCTTTGTAAGACAACGGTTCACCAGCCTCATGTTTCTATAAAACCGCTAGGAAATGTTGGCTCAAAAACCTCGCTTTCAACCACAGTATAAAAATTTTGTTTTATTTCTTTTTTGTATTCAAATAATAATATTTTTAGTTAGGTTTCAATAAATAGCATTGAATAATGCTTGTTCAAATCGATAATGTTTCAAATTTATCTGAACTATTCCCATGAACACATATTCTGATGAATTTCACAGTGTACCCAATACAGCAATATTGTATCTAATATCTTAACAAACAATCAATAAGTCATTTATCTGGTTTAACTTTCGCGAAAAAATTATTACTATTTCCAAGCTATTAAGATATTCAATATGCCACTTTATAAGCAATAAGCCAAAACCTCTAAGTATTCAAGTTCATAACTTGAATTTCAAAAATATTATTTTTAATTTTCCTAAATAAAATAACAAACAAAAAATAAAAATAATAAATATATAAAAAATTAAAATTAAATATTTATTATATAAAAAATATTAATTCATATAATTAAATACATCTAAATACTCTATTTAAAAGAATTAAATTACAAAATTCTATACATAAAAAAGACTATCTTAAACCGCTAAATTCAACTCACTTAAAATACATTCATCAGCATTGTTGAAATCGGCGAAAAAATCGCCGAGAAGAGCAGAAATATCGCCTAATAAGGCCTTATGAGTATTTTCATCTGTCTTTGTTTTTGTAAAGACGTAGTTAGGTAAATATTTGTTAAAGAAATCAGAGGGCTCACGAACTGTCCATTTCCTCTTCATGGCTCTATACTGATTGAGAAATGTCTTATCCTTTATACGCTCAGCCATTGGTCCTTGGATACTTTTCATTCCGATTCTTGTTAATCTGCTATTAAGAGAGGAGCGGACGCCAACCTTCATAATTCCATTGAGAATGGAAGCAGAAATTATTACAAAATGAGAATTAAGCTCAGTATTGAAGACAACCATGATTCCTCTTATATACGAAAAAAAGAGATCTGACATTGTGTCAGATCTCAGTAAAAGTGACATTTACATGTCAAAAAAATAGAATGAGTTTAAGTAATTAAAATTGAGGGTGAGAGTAGTATTGTATGAAATAATATCTCTCACCCTCCAATTCATCCTATGGCGCCGAAAAAATTTTGGTGAAATGCGACCACATTTCACCAAAATTTCTCGGCGCCATATAGAGAACTAGAGCCTGTGAGGTACTGATACTATCCATGTACCTCGCAGGCTCTAGTTCCAAGCCAAAATGGCTAAAAATTGCCCGCAATTGTTCACATTGCGGGCAATTTTTAGCCATTTTGGCTGGGAATTGGAGGGTGAGAGTAGTATTGTATGAAATAATATCTCTCACCCTCCAATTCATCCTATGGCGCCGAAAAAATTTTGGTGAAATGCGACCACATTTCACCAAAATTTCTCGGCGCCATATAGAGAACTAGAGCCTGTGAGGTACTGATACTATCCATGTACCTCGCAGGCTCTAGTTCCAAGCCAAAATGGCTAAAAATTGCCCGCAATTGTTCACATTGCGGGCAATTTTTAGCCATTTTGGCTGGGAATTGGAGGGTGAGAGTAGTATTGTATGAAATAATATCTCTCACCCTCCAATTCATCCTATGGCGCCGAAAAAATTTTGGTGAAATGCGACCACATTTCACCAAAATTTCTCGGCGCCATATAGAGAACTAGAGCCTGTGAGGTACTGATACTATCCATGTACCTCGCAGGCTCTAGTTCCAAGCCAAAATGGCTAAAATTGCCCGCAATTGTTCACATTGCGGGCAATTTTTAGCCATTTTGGCTGGGAATTGGAGGGTGAGAGTAGTATTGTATGAAATAATATCTCTCACCCTCCAATTCATCCAAAGGCTAATATTTTCTACATTTCCATAACATTCATTTCAACGGAAACTCATTCAAAATTCTATATATTTAATTTTTCAATCTTATTCAATTTCATATTCAAAATTAATTTGAATTACATTCAAAACATTTATACCTTATTAATAACATAATATCATTTGTTATCAATATACCAATTCGGCTGTTCTAATTTTGGATTCCCATTCATAAATTGATCAATCTATATTGAAACTTATTCAAATTATTTTCTTATTGATAATAAAGATGGTAAAAAAGAGAAGGAGGGACAAAGTGAAGAATATGAAGGTGGATATGAAGAAGAATATGAAATAAATTATGAAGAAGATAATGATGAATAAAATATCACTTTTTATATTTTTGACACGTAAAGTTGTCACTTTTCTGTCAAACTGTTTTTATCGTTTTCGTATATAACATTCCTGTTTGAATCTGGGCTGCGATGAGTTCTTCTTCATTTGTAATAGAGAACTGCCATTCGAGGATCTTCTTAATGTTCTCAGCACAGGCTGAAATATTTCTATCCTTGTGGCAGTAAACACCAGTGTTAGCTGATATTTGTTCTTTAAGTTTGGAAAGAGCATCAGATTGGATAGCATTGAGAGAGTGGTTTCTGCTAGCATATTGGAGGCATTTAGCAGTAACAGAGGATCCAAAACCCTTCATGAATAATGACAGAAATGATTTTGAAAGAGATGAAAGACTCTGAATTATAGATTTCAAGCCGAGCTTTCAATCGAATTGAATGAATCCATTAAAAATTTGGATGGGTTAATTGAATTCAATTGAACAATGCTGTCAAGGAAATATGAATAAAACAAAGTGTAATAAACAGAAATTCATCAAAAGTGACAGCTCTCAATTTTTTGACATTTGTAAATTCTAAATTGAATGAGAAAAATGAAATAATACTAAGCATAATATTCTAGATTTAATTATAATTAGGAAAAAGTTAGTTTTGAGAGTACTTTTCATAGGCATATAGAATGAAATCTTCTGAAAAATAATATCACATAAACTCATATTATTTTCTAATCTATAACTATTTTATATAAGGGTTTCGTTTTGCGAAAAAAACGTACAATACGCAATTTCGCTAAAAAAACATTTAGCTAGCAATTTCGACCTTTGACTCCACTCAAGACGTCACTTTTTTAATTTTGCGGTATCATATTTTTGGAAAATCTTTATGAATATTATATAAAAAGTCTCTTTAATATCTATATTTCATATTTTTATCGATTTTTAAAGTTTTTGCGAAAAGTATTCAATTATTTTTGCTATTTGGTCGGGTAAATGTCAGATTTGCGACATTTTCTGATATGATATTAAAAAAAAAAAAAGGTAGTGGGGCTTCCAGGCACTTCGTGCCTTCTAGCCCTGATGATGTTTAGTAATAAATGAAGTTTTTATTCGGAAAATTGTTAGTCTTCTGGGTCGAAAACATTATATAATGTTTCACTTTTCACAAATTATATATGTTTTCATGTTTTGTCAAGATTTCATCGTAAATGTTTTGTCAAGACTTCTTCGTAAATGTTTTGTCAAGATTTCATCGTAAATGTTTTGTCAAGATTTCATCGTAAATGTTTTGTCAAGATTTCATCGTAAATGTTTTGTCAAGACTTCTTCGTAAATGTTTTGTCAAGATTTCATCGTAAATGTTTTGTCAAGACTTCTTCGTAAATGTTTTGTCAAGACTTCTTCGTAAAATCAGACAAAAATAAAGTTTAGGGTAGAAGGTTAGATCTAACCTGTTTTCTCACCTCTTTTCTACCCTCATGAATTTTCATGATTTCTTCGTACATGTTTTGTCAAGACTTCTTCGTAAATGTTTTGTCAAAACTTCTTCGTAAAATCAGACAAAAATATATTTTAGGTGAAGAGGTGAGATCTCACCCGTTTTTTCACCTGTTTTCTCACCCTCTTGAATTTTCATGACTTCTTCGTACATGTTTTGTCAAGACTTCTTCGTACATGTTTTGTCAAGACTTCTTCATCGTAATGAGTGTAAAGGACCCAAAAATAAAGTTTAGGTGAAGAGGTGAGATCTCACCTGTTTTCTCACCTCTTTTCTCACCTCTTGAATTTTCATGATTTCTTCGTCATAGGCACGGAGATAAGACGGTTATTTTACAAAACTGACAACACTTTGACCGAGTAGTTTTTTGAGCTGAACAAAAAGTGTCATATAAACATCTGTCAAAAGCCGCTTTTTAACTTCACTTAAAATGCCACGTAAGCTACGTAAGAATATACGTAAGAGGAAGAGAGCATTGAAACATCCAATAGTAAAACTAACACCACAACAACAGTTGCAACAACAAATTATGAATGACCCCACTATGTTGCAACAAATGTCAAGCAACCCTATGCTTTTAAACCGAGTTATTGGTGCACAGAGTGGAGGTTTAAGAGCGGCACTTTTAGCGAAAATGGCAGGCTATGGTGGAGCTGCAGACGGAACAGCTTATAACCCTCAAAGTCAAATGAATTTGAGTTCACTCAAAAATCAAATAACAGATGTCAAAAAGTCAAACATAGACATACAGAAACAAATAAGTGAAAACGAAAAGAAACTAGAATATGACAGACACACAAAGAACTCAATGAGTTAAACGTAGAGAAAAAGAAGAAAGAAGAACAACTGAAAGAACTAAGTACAGAGGAATATGCGAAAAAAGTGTCAGAAAAAGCAGCAGAAGTAGCAAAAATGGAACAAGATGTTATAAATTTGAAAAAACCATACTACTCAATATAAAGTACTGAAAGATGAAGAGATAAAACAAAAAGCCCTGAAGACATATATGGATAGCGATGAGTATAAAAAAGAAGTTGAAGCAAATGTAAAGGCAGAAAAACTTTTACAGTTGCAAAACCAAACCGTACAGTATGAAAACTTAGCACAAGAAAGTAAAAATAACGACGCAGCCATGCAAAAGGCAATGAAAAGCGCAGAATATATAAAAGCTAACAATGACTGGTTAGATGCCCAAGCCAACGCCAAAGCAGCCCAACTTATAGGGTCAATAAGGACAAAAATACAAGCGGATGAAGACAGTTCAAATGAAGCTTTAATGAATGCTGACTTTAAGAACGCCTTCGAAGCTCTTCATAGTAAGGTGAAACTAGTGAACGACTTCTCATCTGGAAAGAAACTGAAGTCTGAAGGTTTCGACAAAGAGTTAAGAGAAGTAGCACAAAATATGACGAAAATAACAGATGCAGCAACGAGACAGGCAGTTCAAAGTGCCTATGACGCCGTTAGAGCAACTGTTGTGGAAAGTCAAGAAAAAGAGTTACAACAGACCAAAACAGACCTAGTAAATGCTTTCTTAAAAACGAAAAGTCAGGTAGGACATTATGCTGCAGATGGAACATATGTGCCAGCTGGTGGAACTTATATACCACCAGATGAGGTACAAGAAACTCCACAGGAAGAAGTTCAGATACAACCAGACATGGAAGAAATAGTTCAGCAACAACAGCTAGAAGAGCCTGAAGGAAACAAACAAGTCCCTCCTTTGGAAACTACAGAAATAAATGACGCAAGACTGAAACATTGGGTAAAAGCTTTCCCATTCACAAAAGATATTATTGGTAACATGGAAAGAAAACCAGAATGGCTACAAAAACATATATTTGGAAACGAGCTTATTCCATATGGACAAGCTCTGTTTGAAGAGCTTGAACCGGAAACTCAGGAAAGAGTCATGCAAACAATACGCGAAGACTCAAATACAAACTATGACAAAATCTTTCTAGGATATAGGTTACCTGAGATGGGCGACCAGAGCCCAAAGGCAAAAAGGACATGGGAAATTTACAACATACTAGGTGAACATGAGGCAAAGATGCAACAACTTGAAGCAGAGGGCAAGTTACCAAAAGCGACACCAAAGAAGAAGAGTAGAACAAAGTGAAAATAGTGAAGAAGTAACTTCATCTAGTGAAAGTAGTGGCAATGAAGGAAAAAGAAGAGTTAAAAACTCAGTCAGGAAGAAAGTAAAGCTTGGTCCGAGTGGGTTCTATTATGATATATAAATCCAACTATTCTATATTTTTACCCATATGAAATGTACGCCGCTCAGAATATAACGCCAACAGTTTTGGATGCCATGAACGGAAATGTTTCCGAATGGTATAACGAATGCGACAATGCCATTAGAAGGTCAGAAATAGTTCCTGGAACTTACGAATATACAACTGCTGTTTCTTATGGAAACGTAGGTGAGTTTGGAGAAGGTTCTTCAACAACAGTAGATATTGCTTGCGACAGGTTTCATATTATTTCTATTGACAACTCATTCTTATACGTGGAACAAGACATTGAAATAAAACCTTCTGCCAAGTTGTCTGACAAGAAAGGTTGCAATGGAATTTTCTATGTCGGATACCAATATGCTCCAGAAGTTTTCATGGGATATAAGATATATTCTAACTCTGACTTAGTTCAAACAGTAACATGGGCAAACTATGAATGGTTCGCTTTGAGAAACTCAGTACAACCACAAGCTAGAGAACAAACAGACCAGTATGCAAATATTGAGAAAATAAGAAGACTTGACCCTAACGTTCCAGGAGTTTATGTTAACCTTTCTGGTTCAGATGGAACTGCTGCCACTAAAGTAAAACTGAAACTTAGAGTTCCTTTGTCATCTTTCCTCATCTTCAGGTTTTTAAGATACTTGCCAAACTGGGCAGGAAAAATTTCTATCGAACTTACTCCAAGCAAAAATAACTTAGTCATTGCACCAACACAAGACCCATTCAGCATTACTGTAGCTGGAACTGGTGGAGCCAAGTTCTGTGACTTTTGCAAAGACAAAGTTGACTTAGACTTTGGTTTCTCAAACTTCAACAATGAAGTAAACTATTATTTCAATGCTGCTGGAACTGCTTGGGACCCAGTTAAGTTCACATGCGAAAAATTTGAATGCAAGAGAATAGAAAGCAGACTTGCAGTCTATATGTTGGACCCAGATATTTCAAAATGCTTTAGCTGCCAAATATATTGCAGTTCCACTTATGTTCCCTATACACCAAATATCTGTCAAAGACTTTGCAGGTGAAGTTGGAAACCAAAGTGCTGACCCAGGTGCAAGAACAGATATTGCTTTAACAACTGCAATGAAACATGCAGATACTATGTTTGTACTGTTCAGACGAACTATAAATGACTATTCTTGTTTCTACAACCCCGGTATTAAATATCATATAAACATAGATGGCAAATATTATCCAAGAGAAGAATATTCTACAGTTGAGGATATGAGGTCATACAACTTGACATTAGATGCTATGAACTTTAACAACAACTTCACAACAACCATTAACCCTGAAATGCAAAGTTCTATTATGCCATATGTGAAAGTATGGACTCATACAGGAGGTCAAAAAACTCAATATACAAATGGAGACCGTTCAAACTTTTGGCTTGGCATTCCATTTGCTGACTCAGAAGACTTTATGGTGGTATTTCAACTGTTGGTACAGTTCAAATACAATATACTGGTGACAGAGACGGTCCAGATGAACTGAGAGCAAAGAAGTTTACAAAACCAATAGCACTTTTCACGGAAGATGCTCTTTTTGAAGATTCGTTCGATGAAACCTGCTGGGGCTCCTCAGATTGGCATAACGACAGCTTCCATCGAGCAGATTTTGGCAGCAGGTCAGTAAGTTGTTCTTGAACTGACTTCTCTCCGTCAAATATTGACAGTACGCCAGTTTTGACATAATATTGTAAGATAAACTTACCTTTAGAAATATCTGTAAGTTTTGAAGTTATATTTTTGTCTGCTTCAAGAACTTTCACCATTTCAGTTATACCAACTTTCTTTGCTTTATGGAAATATTTTGGTTCAGCAAATATTGCTATTCTATAACATTTACCATTGTTTGTATAAAGAACTATTCTGTCAATGTATTTGTATTGTTTGTGTGTGTAAACTTTGTTCTGCTTCAATTCGAAGAGATACTCGAATACGTCCATCTTTTTATTCTAAGTAAAATGTCATTTTCCGAAAAATAGAAGCGTGAGTGTTTCAAAAGGTTTAATGGCGGTGGCAGATGTGAAGTTAAATTCACCAACTCAAACAAACAGTCAAAGTGTTGTTGTCAATGTCAAAGACAGAGATGTTGAAGTGGGGAAACCATACGAGGACGAAGATGGTATAACAATTGTTCCTGTAAAAGAACCAACATATCCTGAAGTTAGCAGAGACTTAAGTTCTGTTGCAGATATTCGAAACGACTACCAACAACTGAAAGACAAACTTCAAACTCAGGAGAAGATTTGTCAAGCTTTAAGTATAATGTTAAACTTGGTCGAACACAACCCTGTAAAAGTGAACTCATATGTCATCGCACCTCATGAAGTTTTGAAAGAACTATTGAAACTTTTGACAGAGGCAGACGATATAAACATCAAAGAAATAGAACCCGACATTAGTTGCTGTGGTGTTTCATATAATGTCATTGACAAGATATACGTTATGAAAGGAGGTGAAACGTTGAACTTAAAGTATAGTTTCCCAGACGTCATAAAATATTTGACGACCACAACATTTCATTAAAATTTATTTGCTAAGTAAAAATGTCAAAACTTCTTGAAAGATGTTTGAAGAAAAAATAATATAGACTTTATTTTCATTAAAGGACTTTACACACTTTTGAACGATATGAAAGACCCTGTTTTGTTTGTTCGTGTAGACAAAGGAAAGTTCTATGTCTTTACAAAATATTTGAACTTCTTAGACAGAGAACTTCAAGAAACGCCATGTGAAAGTTTAGATGAAGTTCTTCTCCACTTTCAGAAAAACTTTTAAATATATATAAATGGCAGAAGACATAATGTTTATACTATTACGACTAAAAACCCTGAGTCATATAATTCTATAACAACAAACTTACAAAGTCCTCAAGGACGATATTGTAAACTAACCTTAAACACAATGACGACTAAAGCCTGTTTTGCTCTTTTGACACCAGAAGACTTTATTGTTGTGAATGGTAAAAAATACTCCTTTGAAGATACTTACTCAGATATACCACCAACAGGTTTTGTTGACTTATTTAATACTTTAAGGACGGGTGTAACATGTGCTGCAACTAGAGCAGGTTTCATTATGTTTGGATGTCCGACTGAGTTTACTATAAACAATATGAGCTATAATACAAAACTTATTTCTGGTTTTTACTACCAACAGTTTCCTATAACAGGAAAAGGTGTCATACAAGGAATGTCTATTCCATTGACATTAAGCACACCAATCTTATATATTGTTTCAAACTTAGGTTCAAAGTGTTATTCGAATGTCGACAGAAACTATTATGACCAAAAGATACTTATGCGTATAAACAATACTTTCTCTGCTGGTTTGCCTATTGTTCATTCGAATGCAGAATTTTCAACCTTAGTGAACTCAAACACTTTGGCAAGTATAACGTTGACATTAGTTGACGCAAACTTTGTTCCTGTAAAACTTTTATGTCCTATGTATTTGTCAATGACGGCAGAAAGTTTCGAATTGGAAGATGCAACTGGTGAAAGTATTGTATTACAAGAACAACTTCAAACAACAATAGCTCAAGAACAACAAATGCAACAAATGCAACAACAAAGTCAAGAATAAAAAAAAATATTTTTTTATTTTTATAAAAATGTACAGAATAGATGTTTCAGATTTTTATGACTTCCAAGCATTCAGAAATATGTGTCCATTTCGAGACTATAACAAAGCAGTCGAGAATTTGAAACGTTTAGTCATTTATGTCGACTCTGCCCCAGAATGTTATGTTATGAAAGAATGGGATGTAGTCTTTAACAAACCTAAAGCGACAATAGTTTCAGAACAAGAATGTAGACAGAAACTTAAGAAAATAAAAAGTCGTACAAGTTGGCATGAAGATGTTAGATGCTTGGGATATCTTATTGTCAAAGTTAGAAGATTTTTCAGTTCGAGGATAAAGTTCTATACACCTTCTCCAAACTTCTATTCTATCTTCACTGGATATAAATATGAACAAGTAGAATGGAAAGAAAATATTATAGAAGCTTGGTTAGACCATGTCAAAGAAATTATATGCAATGGAAACGAAAGAGTCTATGAGTATATCTTATGTTGGTTTGCAAACATCTTACAACATCCAAGTGCTAAAAATGAAACTGCTCTCATTATAATTGGAAAGCAAGGAACTGGTAAGAACACATTCTTTACAGATATTTTGTGCAAACTGTTAGAAGGTTATTCGAATCCGAATATGACAAACTTAGAAAACATCTGTGGCAAGTTTAACTCCTCAATAGAGAATATGAAACTTATAGTATGTAACGAACTTCAAAGTATAGATACAACAAAAGTTTTAAACTCAGATGCTTTGAAGAGTCTTATAACAGACAAAGTTGGAGTTGTTGAAAGAAAGTATAAAGACCAAAGAGTTTGTGAAAATGTTGCAAACTTCATTATGGTTTCAAACAATGCTGTTCCGATGAAGTTAGAAAGTTCTGACAGAAGATATGTAGTTGTCAGAACGTCAGATTCTCATATGCAAGATACAGAATATTTTGACGACTTAGCAGAAACTTTGACATCTGACTTTTACAACCACTTGTTCTCATATTTTATGACATTAGATATTTCAAAGTTCAATCCAAGACAAATTCCACATACCGAAGAGAGACAAACATTGTTAGAAGCAAACAAGAGTGTATATGAACTGTTCATAGATGAAACTGACTTTGTGTCATTAGATGAAAGGTCATTGTACGATTCGTATAAACAATATTGTCAAGAATATGGTTATATGACAGCGTCTAAACGAACATTCTTGGCAAATGTCAAAAGTCTTTTAGACGTACAGAATGGTGTATATACAAAGAAAAATTTTTATGAGTAAATTTAAAAAAAATATTTTTTTATCCGATAGAAAAGATGGCAAAATTCATCTCAGTAAACAAGTACATGTCAGGACTTAAAGAAGAACTAGACCCATTCACATATTTGAATGTTTACTTCTACCATTTTGAAAAGTCTTCATTCAGCAAAGTTTGGAACATCGAACCAGTTAAGTTTGCTATTGTGACTAAAAATGGTGCGAAATTTGAAGACTTATACATTGACGGTATGTTGACAGTCAAAGAAAATTTTGACAGAAAGTTCTCAAAACTCGAAGAAGGTAAAGCATACAAACTTGTTATACCTTATGAACCAAAGAAAGCAGACGACTATGAATATTATGAGTCTAAAGTTGTAGAAGTTCAAGGTAAATTGGGTAAAAAGATTTTAGAGTCTAAGCCAGTGTTTACTCCTAAAGAGGAAGAGAACATTGACATTGACCCAGAAATGTTCTAAAAATAAAATTTTATTTTTACATGTCAAATTTCTTTTTTCTGGAACTGGTTCAGGTTCTTTCTTCTCTTCTACTACTTTCTTTTCTTTCTTTCTCTCTTCTTCTTTTCTGGTGGAGTTATGTCAAATTTCTCCGAACCATATTTATGTAAAAGTTCTTTGTCCTTTAATAGCTCTTCTATTCTGTTTTCTATTTCATCTTCAAGAACAGCGCATGTGTCTTCTTTGCATTCTAAGAAGTTTTGTTGGACTTCATCTCTCCAAGAGGCGTCATCTCTGTCAACAAGTCTGTCATTGACAAATTTTAAGACTGCTCTGCTTAATGTTTTATGGTTCTTGTCATATTCCCAGAAACAGAACTTTAGAACAAATTCACCTTTCTTGTTTACACTATGTAAGATTTTATGGTCGACAGATGTTTTGCTGTCAAAAAGTTTGTCTCGAATATAGATAGCGAAATCGCTAGACATTTTCTAAAAGATAAAAATTTTAATTTTTCTAAAAATATGTTTAGAAAAAAAGTTTGCTGACATTGACAAGAAATTTGAGAATGTTTTAAACAAGAACAAGAGGAAGTTAGAAAATGCTCAGATAAAACCTATACATGACAAGTTCTTATTTGCTCAGAATGGTATAACAGGTCTAATTGCACCACCTGGGTCGGGTAAGACTTTCACTTATCTTAAAATGGCTGCACAACAACAAGAACTAGATGAGAAGAACCCATTTTATGAGTTAGTTGTTATTTGTAGTACTTCTGGTCAATTTGACCAAACCGTCAATTCGTTCAAAGATATTATAAAGAAGTCTAAGTTAGTATGTATAAAGGATACTGAGTTGTTAGATTGGATAAAGAAGTACCAAAGAAGAGTTTTGAAGTATAATGCTATAAATGAGTATATAAATTCTAAGTTTAAAGACCCAAATGAGGAAATGCAGAGAATATTAGAGAAGAAACACTTCAGAAACAAACAGAAAGAGATAGAATACATTTCGAAGAAATTGCAATCTTACGATTGGAAGACCTACCCTCATAGATGTCTTCTTATCTTAGATGATTTCGCCTCTCATCCTTTGCTTAAGAATAGAGAACAAGATATGTGTCGAATTCTTAAGAAGCTCAGACACTTTAACATCTCAGTCGTAATATGTGTACAGACAGCAAAGAGTTTAAGTAAGGATGTTAAAAGAATACTTACTGACATTATACTTTTCCCCGGATTGTCCGACGACGATTTCATGGAACTTATGAAAGAGTCCATGGCAGGTAAGTTTGACAGACATGAACTATGGGAGAAGTACAAAGTCATACAAGACCCTCATACTTCTTTCAGAATTCATATCTACGCAAACAAAGTTCAAATTGTAAAAAGTCAAGCGTAAAAAATGTAAGTGTTTAGTCTTAGTAAGTCTGTTGTGGTGCTGGGGCTGTCGGTTCTTCTGGCTTTGGAAGGCATTCAGGAAGAGGAACGTCAGTCATCCGTTTGTGTCCTGTCGGAAGGAAGAACTTTTCCTGTTGGAAGGAAGAACTTTTCCTGTTGGAAGGAAAATTTTTTTCCTGTCGGATGGAAAAATTTTTCCTGTCGGATGGAAAATTTTTTTCTGAAGTTCGACCAAAAAGTTCTCAATTTTCGAAAATTTGAATGGTTTACGGACGGACAACTGGAAAATTTTTTCTTGTCGGATGGATAATTTTTTCTGTCGGAAGGAAAATATTTTTCCAGTTGTCGGGAAAATATTTTTCTGTCGGAAGGAAGGACTCGGAATGCCAGAAGGATTTGACAAGGCAATTTACTTTATAGAGCTACCTGAGCCATCTGAAGTCAAGCTTGAAAAATAAAGAGTTCATCTACCCTACTTGTTTGAAGTTGTCAAAATACTCTGTTATTTTTTCCTTTAACAATGGCAAATCTTCTTTGAATGTAAGTATTGTACAACCTTTCATATCATAGTGTGTTTGAGGTAACGTATCTTGAACTATTTGTTTCACATCTTCATTCGGTGTCATTGAAATCGGTAAGTTTTCGCGATAGAACCAATTTCTGTCAGATTTGTAAATCTTAGCAAGGTCGTAAAAGCTTTTGTTGTTTCTTCTGACTAAATGCAACATAACCATGTCACTGTCTTCTTCTTTCTCCATATCTTCAGTATAAATCATATACTTATAGTTCTTTTCCTTTCCTTTTGGTACCGAACGTGGTATTCTTTTCTGAATGTTTTTGTCTTTTGCTTCAAGCTTGTTCTCTAGCTCTTCACGTTCTTGTCTATGAATTTCGTCAAGAAGTCTGTAAATATACCAAGCATAACGAGGCGAAGCCCACATTGCAACAGCATTTACAAGAAGTCTATGTACATAATATCCTCTTAAATTTATTGGCAAATTCTTACGATTTTCATACGGAATCTCATTCCTCGGTTTTTCGAGGGTAGCAAACATATGAGGAAATTCTTCTAAAAGTTCTTTTGTCTGTTGGTTTTCAAACCAATGATATGCTTGCTTTGTAGAACGAAGAGCGTTCAAAATACTTTGCATTTGGTACATATCGTCTTTGACCGAACGAATGAGACGTAACTGTTTGTTATACTGTATGTACTCGTATTCTTCATTTATAGCTTCATGGACTATAACTGTTGTTGTGTTCTCTGTTGTTGACATATCTGTCTTTACATACAAAATAAAAAAATAAATAAAAATAAAACTAACTTTATTTTTTCTGTCTTAAGGAAACTCATGATTTTTGTGCTGAATTCAATAAAAATATAATTTAGGGTAGATGGTTAGATCTAACCCGATATCTACCCTCTTTTCTACCCCAGTTATTTTATAAACGTTTTACATGGTAAACGTTATTTTTTAAATTTTGTGAAAACTCAACGGTTTGACACATGCCCTAAAAATTATAGTTCATCTAACATCATGTAGATATACCAAGCATAACGAGGCGAAGCCCACATTGCAACAGCATTTACAAGAAGTCTATGTACATACCAACCTCTTAAATTTATTGGCAAATTTTTACGATTTTCATGTGTTTTATGCAAGGCCGATAAAAGTCGGTCTAGAGAAATTTCACTGTTTTCATGAGTTTTAGGCGACCCCGAAGGAAGTCGGTCTCGCTGTGCTTCGCTGTTTTCAGAAAAAAGTATGTCTCGCTGTGCTTCGCTCAAAAGTTCTTGTGTGCTTTGGTTTTTGAACCAATCGTCTGTATGTTTGGTATCTGGAGCAAAACATGCTGTCAAAATACTTTGCATTTGGTACATATCGTCTTTGACCGAACGAATGAGACGGAGTTGTTTGTTAAACTGAACCCACTCATATTCTTCATTTATGGCTTCATGAACGATAGCAGTTGTTGTGTTCTCTGTTGTTGACATATCTGTCTTTATATTCCGGATAAAAAAAATATTTTATAAAAAACTAACTTTATTTTTTCTGTCTTAAGGAAATTCACTGTTTTCATAGAGTTTTGGCGACCCCGAAGGAAGTCGGTCTCGCTGTTCTTCACTGTTTTCGTACGGAATCTCTTCTCTCGGTTTTTCCGAGGGAAGCAATCTTATGCCATTTTACTCAGATTTTTGTGCTGAATTCAGCAAAAATATATTTTAGGGTAGAAGGTTAGATCTAACCTGTTTTCTACCCTCGTGAATTTTCATGATTTCATCGTAAATGTTTTGTCAAGACTTCTTCGTAAATGTTTTGTCAAACATGAACGTATATGTTTTGTCAAACATGAACGTATATGTTTTGTCAAGACTTCATCGTAAATGTTTTGTCAAACATGAACGTACATGTTTTGTCAAAACTTCTTCGTAAATGTTTTGTCATGACTTCTTCGTACATGCTTTGTCAAGACTTCTTCATCGTAATGAGCGTAAATGTTTTGTCAAGACTTCTTCGGAAATGTTTTGTCAAAACTTCTTCGTACATGCTTTGTCAAGACTTCTTCATCGTAATGAGCGTAAATCAGACAAAAATAATGTTTAGGTGAAGAGGTGCGATCTCACCTGTTTTTTCACCTGTTTTCTCACATGGTCTAAAACATACAAAACTCATGAAATTTGTGCTGAATTCAGCAAAAATAATGTTTAGGTGAAGTGGTGCGATCTCACCTGTTTTTTCACCTGTTTTCTCACATGGTCTAAAACATACAAAACTCATGAAATTTGGTCATTTTTCAGCAAAAATAATGTTTAGGTGAAGTGGTGCGATCTCACCTGTTTTTTCACCTGTTTTCTCACAAGCGTTTTACATGGTAAACGTTATTTTTACATGTATTTTTCAGCAACTTCGTCAAATAATTTTATAGCTTTATCTATCTCATCTACTTCAAACGTTTCTTTACCTTTTATGGGAGCACCATACATTTTCTCAAACTTTTCAAGTAGTTCTGTTTCTGCAGCTCTCATATCATTAGCAAACACAACCTTGACTATATTGACTGTACTGTCATATCTTTGAGTTATATTATATGTTCTTCCTATCTTATATCTCTTTGTATTGAAGTCCTTCGGTTTCTGAACGATGTAAAGTAAGCCTTCACTGCAACGTTCCGTATCGAATGAACCATATGTTATGAAGTTATATCCAACAACTGGGTCTAACCATAACAAAACTATTGGTATAAGACTTTTGTCTATAAGATATGCTGCAGTTCCATAGAATCTTACCGATATTATAAGCTCAGGATTTCTTGTCAAAATTTTCTGAGTAGAAGCAATTTTAACCCAGTCCTTTGTTTTCTTTCCAGATGAGAATTAATGTCTGACAAAGAATATTTTGTTGTATTTCTTTGAGTATCTTAACGTTTAAAATCACCAATTCTAAACCAATTTGGTTGTTATTGTCTATTTTTCTAACTGTTTCAAACTCAGTGTTTGTCATTTCTGTTCTTACATACAAAATAAAAAAAATAAATAAATAAAACTAACTTTATTTTTTCTGTCTTGTAATAAAAATATGATTTCAGGGATTTTTTTGACGAAGTGTCAAAGTTCTCTTCGTAAAAAAAATAACAGTTATATAATGAAATTTGGTCCATTTTTTTTTACGATTTTCATGAGTTTTTAGGCGAGTAAGATTTTTCTATCTGTATAAAAGATATGATTTCAGGGATTTTTTGACGAAGTGCAAAAGTTCTCTTCGTAAAAAAATAAAGTTATAATAATGAAATTTGGTCATTTTTTTCAGCAAAAATATATTTTAAGGTAGAAGGTTAGATCTAACCTCTTTTCTCACCTCTTTCTACCTCTTGAATTTTCATGATTTCATCGTACATGTTTTGTCATGATTTCATCGTACATGTTTTGTCATGATTTCATCGTACATGTTTTGTCAAGACTTCTTCGTAAATGTTTTGTCAAGACTTCTTCATCGTAATGAGCGTAAATCAGACAAAAATATATTTTAGGGTAGAAGGTGAGATCTCACCTGTTTTCTCACCCGTTTTTTCACCTCAGTTATTTTATAAGCGTTTTACATGGTAAACGTTATTTTTGGAATTTTGTGAAAACTCAACGGTTTGACACAAGCCCTAAAAATTATTTTACTCAGAATTTTGTTGCTGAATTCAATAAAAATATATTTTAGGTGAAGAGGTGAGATCTCACCCGTTTTTTCACCCGTTTTTCTCAACCTGTTTTTTCACAACCGTTTTCCATGAATTGTACGATGTATATTTGAGACTCTAAACAGTTTTGTAGCTTCTATTTCTTCTGTTCAGTATGTCAAAAGTTTTAAACTATGCCGAAAGTTTTTCTTTATACTTTTCTTGACGTCAGATAGAAGGAATCTTCTGCTGTTTGGATAGTTTTTGTTCAGAAATTCTAACATGTCCATTTTAATCTTCTGCTGGCTTTTCTGCTTTTTCTTTAAAATCTGCAATAGTCGTTTCTCATTCTTTCTATCTCTTTGACAGAATAGTTATATTTCCTTATTGCTGCTTTAATTTAGAACATTGCGGGTTCATTTGCGTTATATTCTGAAACCTTACCTGC